AGTGGCTTTAAAGTCTAAATCCAACCGCTGTTGGAATTTACACTTAATGTTTTGACAGTAAGTAACATTAACTAACATTGTTTATTAATATTAGCTGGCACTTTCGTTCGTAGTTGATTCTGTTTTTCCCCTTTCTAGTACAGTTAGCTACCACACTTTGGCACACATTTGAATCTGGTATGCTCTTTTTTGGTACTGTTCGCTAGCACTTTTACACGTTTTTATGCTGTTTATGTGTTATTTACATTATGTTTCTTTTACTTATTTACCAGTTGTTGATGTTATTAGCTAGTATTTTGATTTTTGTTTTTTGCTTACTATAAATGATCTTAGAATGAAATTACAAATAATATCTAATGAAGGCAATACATAGAATTGAAGAAAAATGCAATTCAAAACATCTCTTATGTTTATGACCTGCATTGTCACAAACACACTTAAAATGCTTGTAAGCTTTAGAATTTGGGAAGTTGGAGTACAACACAGAAAGCAAGCTTCAAGCACTTTTTACATATGTAAAACTTTGTTATCTTACACTACTATGCTACCTACTAGAAATCTATACACAGAGGTTTTGCTTTGTTTTAACTCGCTAGAAATTAAATGCTCTATGTGTGGCTAATCAGATAATCAGAATAACCTTACCTAACCTAATATGAATACTCAAGCTATTAAATTATTTTTATTATTATTATGATATGCGTTTATTTCATAATATTATTTAAATCATATACTGTCATAAATATGACAAAACTGATATGTTAAAATTAAGATATTATAATGTCCATAGCAGCTAGCTCTCTTCTTTCTAACTTACCCACCGCCAAATGAAATAATTAAAAAAAGATGTCGAAAAATGTGTTCGAATTGTTTGCATATCTTTAAAGTATGCAAATAAAACGAAAAATTTGCCACACCTGTGAGCACGCCTTGTATATTGTATATTGCATATTGTATATTGTAGATAAATAAACGGTTGCGGTAGATTTTAGATGCAAACAAAGCAAAATTAAATTAAAATAAGGCATTAATAGAAATTATGTGTATGAATAGGAAACGCGGACAGACTAAGCTTTAAAATATGTATTTGTCATAAACATTTGGAAATCAACCAAACTGAACCAATCAAAAGTTATGCAATAGAAGTAGCCAGCACGTTTTACTATTTACAAAACCAAAAAAAAAAAATTTTTAAATTTTTAAAAAAATGTTTACACCATTCAGATATGAGACTTAGGGTTTAAGTCTTCAAATTAACTCGAATTCCAAAAGTGACATAAATTTTAATAAAATTGCTGTATTTTACGTGTAAGCGAATGCATTCAATGCAACTTAATTGTGACAAATTAATTTGATTATGCGTTAATTTGTTAAAATGTCAATTTGAATAATATTTTCAAAAAAAAAAAAAAAATTTGATTAAAATTTAAACAACTTTGATAAAAGCCGACTAATATTTTTTTGTAATTATTAATCTTTAAGGAATGTCCGCAATGAAGGAAGGAAGACAAACAACTCAGATAAAAATGTTGTTGATATGCAATCCAATTGCTGGTAAAACCGTCAGATACGATTAAAGTTTGTGCGTCTGCAATTCGTGCAATGCGTGCAATCCATCTATCCATCTACTGACCTTTAAAGTTGAACAAACGCGTTTCCTTGAATTTTTTCAATGACTTTTAAACTTGTTTAGTTTGTTTTTTTTTTGTTTTTTTTTGTTTATAAGGATAAAATAAACGATTTTTTAGTTGTTCGTAGTTGTTCATATAAATGTGTAGGTATCACGAAAAAATTAAAAAGAAAAACTAGTTTCAGAAATATACTTTTGTTTTCATATGCAGACTTACCCAATGCCAAGTAAGGTCAATAATAATATGGTATTTTCATTTGTACATATGGTATTTAACATACCCTTCACACTACATTACAAAGAGGATACATTAAGTTGAACAAAATGTTTGGAAAGCTGTAAAGAAGAACTCAAAAACTAACTTAACCTTATATTTTTAGACAGCAAGACCAAATATGGTCAATGGTAATATAGTATTTTCATTTGTAGATATGGTATTTGACATACCCTTCACACTGCAGTACAAAGAGAATACATTAAGTTAAACAAAATGTTTGAAACATGGTAAAGAGGAAGTTGAAAACTATCTTATCCTTATATTTTTAGACAGCAAGACCAAGTATGGCCAATGGTAATATGGTATTTTCATTTGTAAATATGATATTTATCATACTCTTCACACTACAGTACAAAGAGAATACATTAAATTAAACAAAATGTTTGAAACATGGTAAAGAGGAAGTTGAAAACTATTTCATCCTTATATTTTTTAACAAAAACATAAATCAAGTATTATCTGTCCTCGCATTTCTCTATAGTAACTGCCTTCATCTCTCTGTATATTTTTCTGTTTAAATCTCTATTATAGATTAAGATTAGCAGAACATAACTGAAAGATCAGTAAGCGATGTGGAAAAACCAAGTAAATATAAGCAAACAATAATCAATCACAAAATATATTGAAACCCGATTTGTAAGATTGGGGGAACAAAATTGTAGTCAATAAAAAATATATTGGCAACTAATTTAGATTGGGAGAATATAATTCAGACACAAGAGTGGGATGTATAAAACCAAAGATGTGATGTATAAAAAACAAGAATCGTCCAAAGTCGTAATAGCATCGAATTTGCAAAATTCGTAGAGGTTCGATTACTAGCTAACCGATAGATACCTATGTCAAAAACGAAGCAACTCTTTAAACCAAAATACATAAGAGTTGAAATAAAAAAAAATAAAAAAAAAGAAAATTTAAAACTATCTCTAATTAACAAATTCCATTATAGAAGCCTACAACCTAATGATTTTTGGGGAGCATTACAAATATATCTCCAAAAATGTTAAAAGAATTATCTCTATTAAACGTGCAGTTGAGTTTAAGAAAAAGAATCTTAAATCTCATTTCAAAATGGCTCTTTTGTTCTATCTAAATAAAAGAAATGAAAGCTATATTAACATCAAAATCCAACCATCAATTATCATTGAGTCATTTGGTCTATTATGATAGACTAAAATTATTTTAATCGATAATTTTATTAAACGTTAATACCTTAATTAATTAATTTTATTTCATAAATTTTGTTTGGTGTAACAATATTATTTCTTTGATGAACGTGTCTACTACCAATATGCTCATACCTTTCAACATTCGTTCCACTGAAGCAACAGATATTGGTCTCTGAAAAGTCAATTTTGTTGAGATGATATCTTAACCTGCAGTGTCATGTCAAAAAAGAGTCTAAAAACTCCCTATTTAGTCCATTTTATACTGCCTTGAATGCGTCGTTGAGACTTTTAACCTATCTTTGATTTTTGCTTTTACAAGTGTTCTATAAATTAAAATTCCTTCTAGAATTTATGTGTCGTATAATGTTTCTTTACACTATTGCAGATGAACAGTTGAAACTCAATACGTTTAAATATCGATAGATTTTTCCTGATTTCTGGTTATTTTCTATGACAACATTTGGCTAGCATAGTCAAATATTTTTTAATTAATATTTTTGTTACTTTCGAAATTCTTCAACTATCATAATTGTTTTCTCTATACATTTTAATACTAGCAATCATATTAATCGTTTGTGCTAAGAAATTTAATACTGTTTTGAACATTATTAGAATTCGAATGAAGATTCTTTCTTTATGAACTCCTAATTAGGAACGGATCGCTTTCTTATGGAAAATATATTAAAGAATTGAATACATATCTGTATTTATTCTAAACATATTGGGTTTATTGATAATATTTTCAAACAAATGAGTAAAATGTATTTTCAATTTATTGTCTAGTAATAGATTCACTTTTTCGGACAGTCTATAAGATAACATTATCCGAGGTCATTTGAGCAACTGTGCTCTATTTACATTTTTTAACTTAATAGTGATTTTACTATAAATATATCTGCTTTTTTATTATAACAGATATTTCTAAATATTTCACAATACCAAAAACAAAAAAAAAGAACTATAATATCCATTCGTGTCTCAATCCAGTGGCAAATTTAAATCGACAAAATATATATTTATTGATGAGAATAGTGTATTTATTGTTGTGAGAATAATGTTTATTAGTACGATTAACTACTAAATATTGCTTCCATCATACTTTTATTGTATTCTGTGATTTATTGAAATATGCAATTTGTTAAACATTTAAAAACTACTTTCAAATATTGATTAAAAGTCAGTGCAAATTGTATTTAAGAAATCAGAAGAAAAACATTACACAACTAACCAAACTAAATTAAAATTTTATTAACCAAATGTTAAATCTGTATAATGAATATTTAATAAATATTAATTAATTAAAAGTTGTAAATTTAAAAAAAGCAAAATTAAAAACATAAATCAAAACTTATTACATTATTCAAAGCCTACAAGGCATTTAACTACTTGAGGCAATAGTTATAAAAAATAAAAGAAGATAAGTTACGACTAAATTATAAACCGCTTATATTACAATTTGTAATATAAATGATTTTTTTCGTAAGTTTATTAAATATTATAAGTCTTAATAAAGTTCATTGACTTATAATTGGAAAATACTTATAGAATTAGATATGATAAAATGCAAAACTCATTCATTAAAATGTTAAACAAATTCATGTATTTCCCAGTTATTTGACAAAGTGAAGTCTTTCGTGAATTATATCAGTAAATACATAAAAATCACATGTTTAATTATATAGTAGACATATACCTAAATATTGTAAAAACCACAAAATAGGGAATTTACAATTTATCCCTCTCATTCGCAAACTAAAAATTCATAACTAATTTTTGCACGTACGTCTGTCTGCCTATCTTTGAAGTTTATTTGTATATTCGTAATTTTATGTCAAGCTATGCGCAAACTTTTAGAAATTATCATATGATTAAAAAATAGATATATAGTGTTTATTTCACATTTAACAAAAAACAAAGAACTTACTTTACTTAATATTATGGTCACATCATTACTTTTCAAACGTGCAATCATAATAGAAGCAACTGACAATATGTAATCTCCAGCCATTGTGACCTGTTAAAAAAAAAAAATAAAAAACAAATATAAGATTAAATCAAATTTTTTTTTTAATTGTAAAAAAGTTTATAAATGTTATAAATGTTATGATTTAAGTGCGAAATCAAAGTAATCTCATATGCCTGTATGTGACTCATAAAAATGCATTTAAAGACTTTGTGCAGCGCAAAATCACAGGAACACATCCAACTTTAATGACTCATAACCACAAAATACTTTACATTTACATTACGAAACTGTTGAACTTAATTAATTTATGTTGTGAATATTATAAAAATAATAGTAAAATTTTAATGCAGCAACTGTGCTTTTAATACTCTACTCTGTTAATCTACATGAAACTGTAAATATTGGATTTACTCGCGATTGTCAAGAGACCGTCAATACCCAGTAGCTAAAAACGTAGCTGTAATAAATCTCAATTAAGACGACACAGGAGCGCGCAACTGAATGGAATATAAAATTGCGAAACCTCAAATTTTTATTAATTTAGTGAAAAATAAAAAACAATTTAAGTAAAATGTTTAAAAAATGTTTTAAATATTTTAACTTTTAAAAAATGTTGCAGTGTAGTAATCTACTGCACTATGCAATGCAATTAAGTATTTAAAACATATTCACACATTAAGTTCATTATTTATCGGTGTGAGTTCTCACTTATTTAATTAATTTTGAAATGAAAATTGCTATATAAAATTTTTAAATTTTTAAAAGAACAACAACACATTTTTTATTATAAATAAATATTTATTTTATTATAAATAAATATTTATTTTATCATAAATAAATCTTTTATTTTAACAAAAAATGAATTTCCAATAGCAGCAAAGGTTTAAACACAAAAAGGATTTAATTTAAAACGAATTAAAATTAAAATGAAAATTATTAAAAATGAAATAAAATTATTCGCCTCAAAAATTTAATAAAAGATGGAAATCATCTAGCAGATGTAGGCATCTTTACAAAACTTAGCCACGTTCTATTAAGAAAAAATCCAGTACTCTCATTGAGTTGGCCTATAGGAATATAAATCCTGTGATAAGTTTCTTGACAGGTCACAGGAGATTATGGAACTATACTAGAAAATTAAATCCTCCATTTAAACAATCCTATTACAACTGTGAAGAGGATAATGAAAGTGAATCACTTCTTCTCAGTTACTGCCCAACGTAAGCACGTATGCAGGGCCGATTTTTAGGTTTTGCCAAAGGTTCAGGGCTTTTTGAAACACCAGAGTTTTTTGTATGCAAAAATAAATGAGTGATCACTTCAGTGCTTGAACACCCGACACAAGCTGTATAATCTTCCCGTATGGAACATTTTGCATAATACTTTGTCTTTTTTCAATACTAAAACAGACAAAGCATCTGCTCAAGAACATCTTTCCATAGTTCCATAGTTCCTAATTCTATTCAGATATCGCAAAAATTATATAGTTTGCAATATTCATTTTCTGCCGTTTTACCAAAAAATTGAAAAATCGCATTGCAGTTTAATTTGATCACCTTGTAACTTGACTTTCAAGAAGATAAATTTGAAGTAAAGAAAGAGTGAATTACCATAAACTAAAAAAAATTTATGGTTATATTATAACAACCGAAGCTTCCCATTTTAGTATAATTATTAAAAATTTTTAACTTAATCTCTTCACAGAACATTAATTTATTATTTTTATTAAACATAAAATATTTCTAAATAAAGATATTTAGAAATATTTCAAAGCATATTTAAACCAACAACTATCGTGGTTAATCAACCATGAAGCTACTAAGACTTGCATTTACTTACATAAATAGAATTTATTACCACAATTGCAACCTCAAAAGGTCGCATTTGTGCCCAGTGAGTAACTCAAAATATTAAATTACTAAAGCATTTAAATAGCTTTTACATCTCAACTTAATTAAAACTAGAACTACTAAAGTCAGCGGACCACAAACTATGAGCAGATGACCACATAAGAACCATGAACCCAGAGAAGGTTCACAGTAGTGCGCGTAATCTTTGTAAATTAATCTTACCTTTTTATGATTCCACAGCGCGTTAACACTGGGCTTACCACGCCGGAAATCAGATTGATCGATAACATCATCATGCACCAAACTGGCAGAGTGCACCATTTCAGAAAAAAGCGCAATTTGTCGTTGTTTGTGTACCAAAAGGCTGCAAAAAAGATACAAAAGTATTAAATATGGTATTTTTAAAAAATTTTGTTTTTCTTAAATTAAGTTAAATTGTAATTACACATAATACTAGCGGACTGACTGACTATATATACATAGTGATAAAAATAAATTTTGAAAATATATGTCTTAATGAAGTTCATTTTTTTTATTTAAGCGGATTTATGACTATTGTTAAGTAACATCTAAATAAAAAAAATTAAATAAATTTTTGGTGTTTGATTACAAGAGTTGAAGAGTTGCAGGCTTGTGTTAATCAATTTATTGCGGCAGTAAATTTTACAGAAATTAAAAATAATGTCTTGTGCAAATAATTTTTAGCATAAAAATGTTTATTGTAAATTTCATAAAGTTTATTTAATAGTTGAATTTTTGAGTGATTTTTTTTATTTTATTTTTTTATTTTTCTGGGTTGGTTTTGTTAATTTTAGTTTCCTTCAGTTTGTTTACAAATAAAATGTGTGTATGAATTATTTATTGTAAAAATATAAAATAAACAGCAGCAAATAGATATATATATAGTACATACAAAGTGCTATGCTTACCTTGATTCTTTATTTAAATGATAGTTTATCGCTTTGGCCATAAGCATTGTTACCATGGGCCTCAGTGCTTTGCCTTGTCCATCAAAGTAATACGACGCTATTTTATCAAGTTCGGGTTGACGTGTGCCTTGTTGAAGAAGCTGCAAAATGTGTTAAAATTTATTAAAAATAAAGTAATTTTTTAAAATCATTTAAAAATGTATATATTTCAACTAATTTAAAACAAATTAAAGCATTTCTATAATTGCTATTTAATGTGTAGAATTTTCATTGATGTATGTTAAAACCGTGTAGCGCGACCGAGTATGTTTAGTAATATGTGGTAGTATAATCAATAACAATGAAATTATCATCATTTCACGGATAAATTGAAATCAAAGCATTTTAGACTTTACATTGACTTAAAATTCAAGGTTATAACTAACATTAAATTATATTGATATAGAAAAGATTTTACGTTTATTTAAGTTTAATAAACAAATAAATGCCAAATATTTTTAGGAATACCCATATGAGAAACTATGACATTGATCACGCCGTTGTCTATTTTTGATAGGATCATAATTAATTGCATAAATATAATTTCAATTATATTATATTTAAACAAGCGCATCGTTGATTTTAATATTGAATTTTTATATTACTATATATGAAGGACATTAATTAAATCAATAAAATGTATCTCTAAAAGCATATTCACATATTCCAATGAATTTAAATATTTATGAATTTATGAATTAGAAAATAATATGTAAAAGTAGTATAATACTAATGTTTAGTCGTATAGTTCTTTGATGCAAAGTTTTTTTTTAGATACTTATAATTGTTGAAGAAACTTACTAAAATATTGATAATAACAAAAATATTATACTGATTCAAATACTATGTAAATATTTCTATCTGTTTAGGTAAGCATAAGGTTCAAAACTGCAGGTTTCTCTTTATATAAATTAACATTTAGCTCATTAGCATTAACCGTGTTTTATATTTAGCGCGGATACGTATGCGCTTAAGTTTTATATGGAAAATATTACACATAATTATATGCGTTATATCCGCACAAGCATATATAGAAAAA